TTGTAATAGTGTTCTGTAGTTCTCCTCGTACAAATCATTGGGGTTTTTTTTGGTTAGGTATATCTCTGGATATTTCACTTCGTGCTTAGCTATTGTGAAGGGTACTACCTTTTTGATCTCCTCTTCCATGGACTTCCCTGGTGTAGACAGCAGTCTGATAGACTTTTGTTAGTTGAACTAGTATCATACCAGTGTGCCATCTTCCTCTTTCATGTCCAGTATCCATCTTGTGGAGCTTTTGGTGTGTTCTATATATATAATCATAAGATCTGTGAATAATGATAGTTACACCACTTCTTCCCACAGATGCATATGTTTGATGTCTTTCCTTTGCCTTATCTTGTTAGCTAGGACTTCCAGTATGTCTGTTCCCCATTTTGAGTGGGAATTTTTTCTTCTTCTCCCCATTGACTACCATCTTGACTGTTGGTATTTCATATATAGCTGGTATTATATTGAGGAATTTTATTTTCATTCCTATTTTCTTGAGTATCTTAAAGAGGAATGGGTGCTAAATGTTGTACAATGTTTTTTCTGTGTCTATTGATGTTATTATGCGTTTTTAAAATCCTTTTTCTTATCAATGTGCTGAATAATGCAGATGGATTTTTGGATATTGAACCATCCCTGCATCCCAGGAATGAATTCTACTTGGTCATGGTGAATTATTCATTTTATAAACCTTTGTATTCTATTAGCCATTGTGTTCGTATAGGTACTTTAGAGAAACAAATCCACAGAAACTCATGTATAAGAGAGAGTTTTATATAAAGTTTCAGTGCACATCAAGAAAACACCCAAACCCAGTGCTGCCCAAGCCCACAAGTCCAACATTAACCCAATAACCCATATGTCCAACACCAATCCACAATGTCCTCCACCATCTTACAAAACAGACACAGTGATGCTGACTGCAGGAGGAAAGCTAAGTCAGTGATTGTGTAAGCATCTCAGAGCTGGCAGGGGTCTCCACCCGGGTGCTCCAACACCCAAGGCTGCATTGGGGTAGGTCCATGTGGCTTCTCCTTGGGAATATCTTGCAGGAAGTCAGCCTTGAAAGCTGAAGCAGGGAACTGCTAAGGCAACTACACCCTGGTGTGACCATCACAAAGCAGGAGACTCGAGAACTAGAAAGGAGAGGCTCACTGAGCCATTCATGCCTCTGCCCTTCAATAAGTCCGCTTGTGCTTATCGGCCAGGTTGGCACAATACCCACTAGTTTTTCAGTACAGTTATTCATCAATCAGTTGTTTGCCCTTGTTTTATTAATCCTTGTTTTGTTGATTTCCAGCCTTATGGCATAGTGGTCTGAGAAGGAAGTCTGAGTGACCTCTACATGCTTGAATTTACATAGGCTCTACATGTGTCCCCGCATGTGGGGTACAAATATGTGCTAATATGTCGAATATGTGTCATGCAGGCTTGAAAAGAATGTGATTTTTTTATGCACTTGTTTAGAGCTCTATCAGGTCTATCAGGTCAAGTCACCTAATTGTAGAGTTTAATTCTGTGGCTTCCTTATTAAGCTTCTATCCCTGTGATCTATCTCAGAGAAAGGTGTATTAAAGTCACCTACTATAATTGTTAAGCCTGTTATTTCAAATGCTTTTGATTGATGAATTTTGCTAGCCTCTCATTGGGTGCATAAATGTTTTATTATGCTCACTGGTTCTTGGTCTACAGATCCCTCGAGCATTGGTGAGTGCCCCTTCATATCTCTTGTTATGGCTTGCATGTTGAAATCAATTTTGTCAGATATTAGGATTATGACCCCTGCTTTTCTTTTTATTGAAATTTGAAAAAAAAATATTTTTTTCAGCCTTTGATTCTCAGCCTATTTCTATCTGTAAGCTTGAGATGTGTCTCTTGTCAGCAGCAGATTGACAGTTTGTGTTTTTAAGCCAGCCTGCTAGTCTCTGTGTTTTAGTAGGTGAGTTCAGTTAATTGATAATCAGAGTTATAATATCCATCAGTGGACTTTGTGATGTCATCTTGTACCTTTTGTGTTTGGGTTTTTCCTACCTCCCTTCTTATCAGTGCATGGTGTGAATATGTGATTCATTCTTGTATTCTTTTCACTATTGAACCTATGTTATTTTGGGGGTTATTTTCAATGTGTTGACCTTTGTGTAGAGTTGCTCTATGTGGTGGTCTTCTATTTGTGCTCAGTGCGTGCTGTTTTCTGACCACATTGGTCAGCAAGGGTATTCTGTAGAGCTGGGTTTCTTATAACGGATTCGCTGAGTTTTGGTTTTTTTTCCAGGAAAACTCTTACTTCGCTGCCTTATCTTGATAGAGAATTTTCTGGACAGAGGATTCTTGGGTTTGCATTGTTTCCCTTTAACTTTTGGAAGATGTTACTCTACTTTCTTCTTTTTTTCACGGTTTTGGTTGATAAGTCTGAGCACATTCTTATTTGGGTACCTTTATAGGTGACTGCCTTTTTTCCCTAGCTGCTCTCATGATTTTAACCTTTTCCTCAAAGTTGGATAATGTAACTGTTATACACCTTGGCAAATTTTTCCTTGGATTCAGTTTAGCTGATGTCCTCTCTGCTTCCTGGATGATTGCCTATTTCTCATTCATTAAGCTAGGGAAATTTTCCTCTAGGAATTCCTTGATGTTTTTGCCTTTAATTTCTTTGTTGTGTCTTGTTCTCCTAATCCAATTATTCTAATGTTGTTCCTTTTCATATCATCCAACATTGTTCTCAAGTGTTCTTCAGTTTGTTTGATTATCTTGTTTGACTGCCTTACCCATTTGTTGGAGTCTGCCTGGTTACCCCCAAGGTCACTGACATGATTCTCAGCTTCTTCTAAACTGTTGTCATAGCCTGTTAACTTGTTATTTGCTTTTGTTACTTCATCCCTTAACTCTTGTATTTACTTTTGGTGCTTGTCCCTTAGCGCTTGTATTTCCCTTTGATGTGTGCCTTTTATCTCTTCTATTATTTAATCCATTTTCTGTAACGCTTCCCTCATGTGCTGAATGTCTCAAATTAGCATTGTGAAGATTTCTCTTTTTTTGGTAGCTCAACTTCTACTTTTTCTAGCATATCGCTGGATCCAGGTCTTCCTCTGTGTTTCTCCTACTTTATTGTTGCTGTTGTTGGGGGTGGTTCCTGTCTGCGTGTCCTTTTGGATGAACTAGGTGTAATTTTCCAAGAAGTCAAAGAGCCCTGGGCTTTCCCTTATGGAGGCTGATAGGAATGCTTCTGCAGGCTACCTGAAGCCAACTGCACTGGAGACTTGGACTACTCCTTGACCTCATTAGGGTTTTACTCTCTGTAGATAGCTTGAATGCCCTACTTGGAGGGCAAATCTGGTAGGTCTCTCAGGGCCAAAAGTGGGGTGTTTGCAGGCAGCCAGTGTAGCTTCCTGTGTATGAGTTCTAGACAATGGTGGGGTAAGCCCCACTGCCATGGCCAGGGGTACTGAATGAAGATGGGTTAAGCCCCACTGCTGTGGTGTAGGTGCTGGACTGACTCAGGAAAACCTCATTGCTGTGAGTGGAGTTGCTGGGCAAATGTGAGAAGTGACCTGTTGCCACAGGAGGGGGTGTTGAGTGACTGTGGTAAAAGCCCCATTGGTACAGGGTGGGGGTGCTGAGCACCAGAACCATGGGCCACTAAGAGGCCAGCGATGCTGCACAGCATAGGCACAGATGCAGGGGTGGTTGGTGGCACTGCTATGTGTGGGCCAGGTGAGGTTGGCAGCACTGCAAAATGCAGGCTGGGAGTGGCCAGCAGAGAGATGCAGGGGCACCGCTGCCCCAGGAAGGCCAGAGCAACCAGCGGTGCTGCTCCATGCGCTATGGAGGGGCTGGCAGCAAGAGGTTGTGCTGCACTGCATAGGTAGGGAAGTGCTTGGCACTGTACCAGGCAGGCACAGGCACAGGCGTGGGGAAACACAGTTACCATAGGGGTGGGGGATTGTCATAAAATGGCTAGGAGAACCCCTGCCATCGCAGGTGACCAAACTTACTGCAGGCGGACTTCAGGGAGGTCCCTGGGGCCCTTGATGGGTGGTGGGAGGTTATCCAAGCTTGGGGGAGGGATCTGCCACCATGTGGTTTGAGGGAAGCCTTGGAAGAATGGAGCTCAATGAGGGGTGTTTTGCAGGTGGACAGCTGCCATGTGGGTGTCCAGCTGAGGATGTGGGGACTCAGCAGGCCAGCCAGCCAGTTCCTGGCACAGCCATCGGGGTGGGGGGGGGGGCGGGACTTGGTGGGTTGTGACCATGGAGGCATGTGGAAGCAGCACAGCCAGCATGGGCCAGTGTATCCCTGGGACCAGATCACAGATTCCTGGGGCTCTGGAGTGAGACCAGATGTAGGGAAGGGTCACCTCCCAGATAAGGATGCACTCTGCATTATCATAGGGGTATTTTCACTTACCAGAATCCCCAACTCATCCTCCTGGATACCAGACTCACTAAATGCCACGTTTTCCCAGTGTGGGCTGCTTACCTGGGCATCATCTTGCCAGAACTCTTGGTGATCTGCTTTTGTAAAGATTTTACCCCAGAAAATACTATGGGATTATTTTGCTGTTTCCTGGGGCCACAATGCATTGGACTTGATCATATGGCATCAGATAGCAGCATTAAGAAGGCACTTAGCAGAATCAAAGGTAGGAACAGGAGATCAAGACTTGAAAACCCGGGGCTCTGAGAGGCTAAATAAAATCAAAACAAAACAAAACACACAGTTCTCCTCTCTATATGTCAGCAGGTTGAGTTTCTCCATGCCTCCCACAAAAGGTCCCGTTAACATCACAGAAGTGTTGTGAATAATAGAAAAGACTTCCTCAATTATGCAGATCGATACATATTGGTTCTGTCTTTTAAAACACATATTTGTGGGAATGTTGTTTGGGCTTCTTTATGGCTTCAATATAGATTTGAATATCCTGAAACCTGTAAGTTCTCTTTACACTTGAGACTTGTTTTTGGAGAATAACTATTGATGAATTTTGTTAAGTTATTATTTTTGATTTCCAGTGACAGTGATGAAAAACCTCTCAAAGGAAGCCTTCGGTCCCTCAACAGGAATATCCAGGCCACAGAAAGTGCTGACAGCTTAGTGGAGTACGGAGAAGGCGATCATGGTCTGTTTAATGAAGATGGATCATTCATTGGGGCTTATGCTGGTTCTAAGGAGAAAGGGTCTGTTGAAAGCAATGGAAGTTCTACAGCAACATTTCCACTCCGGGCATAAACACTGCACATGTAGACAGAATCAATGGTTCACACCAACCTTCCATAGTTATCTGTACCAGGGAGCAATGACACTTGCATCGGAATAAAAAAATGCTGTCAGATTTCATCCAGAATTCAAGAAATTTACAATTGTATTGAGAAAAATAGCACTGCCTTGAAAGAATAAAATACCAAGTACTTCAGGCCTTTTAAAAAAATTTACAGGTGCTCAAAATGCAGAACACAAAATAAATCCTATCTTTAGATTCACCTCAATTGAATCCAAAGTACCCATTCAGTGTACTCCATATTTACCTGGTTTTATTGTTCAGTGTGTTTGCATAGATGTTGCTACCTTGTGGGATATTCTCTGTGTGCACATAAGTACTCAGTCTCTGAGAACTTTCTTGGTGACGGTACTCCACTAGAGGTTAAAAGACGGTAAGCAAACTCATTATTTAATATATGAAAAGGAATGTATTGTTAAAACAGTTCACTGAATATATACAGCCTAACTTTATTATTTAAATTTTGAGTAGAAAAGTCTTCAGTGAACAATTGACTAGTATTTATTGAACTCCTATTTGTTCAGAGATGGTCATGTTTAAACAGAAATGTAATGCTTTTCAGTTCCAATGTGGATTTTATATTTCTGTCAGTTTTGCTGTCAACAGACACCTCCCTCTCCCCCCACCCTTGGACTAAACTCAGCTGCAAAGGAAGTGGTGGTCAGAAGGTGATCTTTTAAAAACCATAGGTGTGAGGTGTCCATTATTATTCTGGCATCTAATTATCTGTTTACATGTCCATTTCTAAATTGACTGCTTTGACCTTTTCCCCTGTGTTTATATAATGGTATGCTTGCATATATTTTATGAATGCCTTGTACATATTATGTTAATATTTACATGATTTAAACTATAGATTTTTTCATTTTGAAGTGAGAGAGAGAACATTAACAGGCATGTTTGTACAGCTAGAGTAAGATATCTTTTCTCATCCAGTTATAGCTACCACAAAAACACAAGATATAAAACTGAAGACTGTATAAAGTATTTGGAATTGGTTCCTATATTGCTTTTCTCAACAGTCTCAAAATAAAACATCAGATAAATATTTAGGGAAATGCTTTCATATTTTTTAATATAAGGTTTGGTTGATGAGCATGTTTCTAACCCAACTCCAAGAAAAGAAAAAGAACATTGTTTACAGTAAAAATTCCTCAGCATGTTTGGGATGTCTTTAGAATCTGTTTGTTTGCTTGTGTGTTTTCCTTATATTGGCCTTCTGTCAAAGTCAGTGTAAATTTAGGAAACTTATTTCCTGGTATGTGGGCTACTAGTTTTTAAAAAAATTTACATGAGACTTCTTAGAAATATTATAAAATCTTATGTATATGTACAAGTAAAATGCAGCATTCAATTTATCATTTTATGGAAACATTTAAAAAAAATTATGTTTCAGTGAAATTGACACAGATTTGACTTTATTTTCTGGACTACGATAATGGGTGTGAATTGTTAAATATTTGACTTTGATTTATATCATTACTACATTTCTTGTGGACCAGGATTCGGGTGGACACAATGACCAATGGAGTAATGAAGTAGAATATGTCATTTTCTTTTATTAACTTCATGTGCTCTTCAAAATGAATAAGCAAAAAATGAATGTCTTATTTAAAACAAAACTTAATGGACTCGCTATTGGACCAAACTCATTGTTAGCAATTCAATGGGAGATGGCGTCTTCGTTTTCTGTTTGAGCTTATGGAGCCATATGTCAAGCAGTGCAACTCGAGCTTCATCCTTCTCTTTCACCTTCCTTTGTCCTGCGCTTTCACACTCCTTCGTCCACAACTTTTCCATCGGAAAACTATCATCCTGGCAGCTGCAGATTAGGCCAGGGTTGGGATTGCTATTTCTTTTAGTTTCTTTTCAACCAGAAGGTGATTTTGAAAGACTCACATGAGGTGGAAATAATTTCAAATAACCATCAGCAGTAGAATTGGTAGACATTTGATACTTTTAAAAATTAGATGTTAATTCTGAAATACTGAAATTTTTACTCTTCCTAGACCTCAGTGCTCACTTTTAGTTGAAAAACAAGGTTAAGAAACCGATTGCCTCTGCTGCTTACACTGTCTGAATGGGCAAACTTAGACCTATGAAAACTGAGATTAAACAGTGACTACCTTATGTTTTTTAAATGTTATTTTACTTCTACTGGGGATCTTCAGTACAGGAGAAATACATTCCATGACTCTCCCCGATTATGATAATCTAATTGCTTATTGATTTGTGACTTGAGTAAGCTTTAATGAAAACAGAGATTCAACCATTTAAAATGCAGTTTGTTCTTTTCCCTCAGAATCTCGGCAACAGCTCACGATGTTCAGTGGTGACTATAACTATTTGTACAGGCAATCCTTATAACTTTGTTCTTAATTGATTTTACACTAACTTTCTCTAGTCTGGTGTCAATATTATTTCATGTAATAGACTGTAGATAATCTTAAGGATGTTTTATAGGCATGAGTTCTGCAGAGTTGTCCAAGGGGTGTCCAATTTTAGATCTCTTCCTGGTTCCAGCACTGATTTTGTACATAAGTGTCAGATTAGATGCTTAACCCTTTGCTTTGAATGGTCACAATAATAAAGTGCTAATGATTCCCACAGTTACCTTATCTTTGTCACAGGGTTTTCTTTTTTACAAAGAACAAAATTGAAAATGGTAAAAGCTAAGATGCCTTTTAACTTCATAAACCTTTAATCTAATCATCCTTCTAAAATTCACCCCACCTATCAATCGGTACACTTTTCCTGTAAACACATAAATGTATTTTTATAGAAAAATTAACCTACAGGAAATAAAAGAAATCTACTGTTCAATGGGCAGTACGATTTGCACATGCCATTGAAAGTTATTAATCAGAAGAAAATGAAGCAGGGTCTTTGCTATACAAAAATGTTTTTCACTAATTTTGCATGCATATTTCTAAGACAATGAGAATTGGATGGATTTATTCTACTGGTGCAAAGGCATCTGATATTTTAGATGTGCCCATGTTTATAAAAATGTAGAGCACAATGAAGTTATGCTGGAAATCTCAAATAATATTTTTGTTCCTATTTTGTACTCACGGAAGAGATACACTGAAGAGAGAACCATGAGGAATGTTGGTGTGTTTTTCTAAGCATTTAAACATAATTGCCAATTGAAACCCTAAGTATGTTTACATGTCATTCAGTATGATTCTTGTAGCAATTTAAAGTTGACTATAAAGGGATTGGGGTTGTAATCTGTGTTAGTATATATCCTAAAATTCCTGTACTGAAATAAATAGGGTTGAGCCAAAGCTTACATTGTTTTATATGGTAAATTCTTTGATAATGTCATCAGAAGTAATGGGTAAATAGAAAAGGTTCCCCTGATAGTTTTTGCTTATTTGTTTGGATTAATATTCTGAGTAGAACCTTATTGGAAAGTGTTTGTATCGTAGGTGGTGTTTGTATTATGCTCTGGATATATATGGTTTCCAATATTTTCATTATACATGAAATTCAACTTTCCAAATAAAAGTCCAACTTCATATACTATAAATATGTCTGTTTTTTTTCCCATCTGGATGAGAAGAATGAGAATTTGTGAATCACCCTTAATTTCAGTATCCTTTGATTCTGGGTTATCTATAAATGAAGTAGAAATTAATAAAGTAAAAATGAGATTCAAAGAGTGTATTTTCTTTTTTGTTTTTATTTTATTTCGTTTGTTAAATTATTTTATTGGGGGCTCATACAACTCTTATCACAATCCATATATACATCAATTGTGTAAAGGACATTTGTACATTCATTGCCCTCATCATTCTCTAAACATTTGCTTTCCACTTAAGCCCCTGG